TGGAACAGTGAGGTTTCCCCTCCAGCTTTGGTAAGCATAACATGGTCTTCTGCCCACATAAATCTGTGTTGTCAGCAGAGGAGCTCATTGAAAATACAGATACGGAGCACAACATCCACTCAAATTATATGGCTTCCAAATTGTCTAGAAGCAATTATTTCTGGCAAATATCAGATAGACAATAACCAGTGGCAACAATGTAGTTACATTAAGACAAAGTACAACATAAAGAGGATGAACAGCATGTATGAGGTGGTATAATTGAGCAGCACGAATAAAGGTGATAGAAATGGAATTTAATAAGTTGAAAGGGCATGAGTTAGCATGCGTAGGAGTAACTGATTGCCCTTTCCAATATTCAGGAGTGATTTTCTTTTTTAATTGGATCATACTTCTTCATTGACGAATTGGATGCTTCTTTTTGCCCTCCTCAAGCACAAAACGTTTAAAACAAGTTTTAAAATATGTAATAACATAAAACTGAGAGAGAAGAGTAATCATCAGAAGACTTTTAGCACAAAAGTGTTGGCTTGATTCTGTCCCTAGAAAGCTTTATAATGCTTTATACTCCTGCCAAAGGAGATATGGGGTAATAGTTTCCAAGACAGTAAAGTGACTAAGTTTTGGTAGACATGCTGATTTTGCACTTGTCTACTTCTGTCCATCAAGGGAATTTTTTTCCTTCTCTCTCCTTTCTCAGACCAATATATTGATCTTAATGCCACATATTAAGATGAGTGTTCCAATGCACATGTGAAGTTTTTCTTATAAGGAGACTGCTTTGGTACACCAGCAGCAAAGTGATTTCAGCAACTGAAATAAAGTATGCACTACAAGAACTATGTTAGTATGACAGTGACAGAATAGTTGAACAGTGAAATCTATCCTGTGTATCTATGATATAAAGTACTTAGGTCTAATTTTCAAAAGTGACCCACCACTGTGAAACCTAAATCATCCATGTGCTTTTGAAAATATGCAGCATTAGCTTACACATTAATGCCAGGTTAAACAGACTGAGTGTGGATCATTTTTCCAGAAGCAGTATGACTTCAAAAATAGTTGGGGGCTGGGAAAGAAAAGTTTGCTTAATTATCTCTTACACTTTATTTTTTTTTCAAAAAGCAATTGCAAGAACGGGATGAGAGCTGTGGGAAGTATCCAATCTACTGCTCTGCCATGCACCTCACATAGGCAAAACAAAAACTGTACTTCTCACTCAAAGAAAAAAGTTTTTCAGAAAAGAACTCAAACTACTTAAAAAAAAAAATCAAACCCACAAAAAATCCCAAACCAAACCCAGTCTATCCCTATGGCACTGCTTGGAAACGTGTAAATACTTAACACTATTTTTTGAAGTTGTACCCAAATACAGTGCCTTTGAAGGCTTATCCCATGATGCTACAATTGCTTTTTGTGACATGGGTAAAAAAATGTCTGTCTAATCTTTTAAACAAAATGTCCATCTTCTTCCTTATGACAAGTGGTCTTGTGAAAGTCCATATAACCACAAAGCATAAAAGCATCATCTGTTCTCTTAGAGATTATGAAATACTGATGTGCCCACAACAGTCATCCAGATGTAGTCTTCAGGCTTTGTTGAATTCATAACCCCAAGCCCTTCTGATTTTAGGAGGCACTGAAATAATGTGGGGCCTCAGACCATTCAAGCCTAACAAAGATTGCCAAAGGTACCTTTGCTTCTCTGCCCATGGGTGAACCAGCTTTGCTTGCAGATGAACCACTTACTGCACTGGACAGTCCCTGATTCCTTCATTGAGACATTTACTGGCAAGAGACAGCCAAGTCCCGGGAACTAAGAATGCAGGGGACTTGGAGAAAAGGGATTCTGAGCTCTGAAGCTTTCAGATAGTTGTGTTGACCTAGGTGTCCAGCACTGCCAGCCAACATGAGACATAAAGAATTACAAGCCACTTCTGGAAGTGTTAAACCTTGAACTTTCGCTTCAGTCTCTCGATCTGCAAAATGCAGACACCAGTGATTTACATCAGAGGGCAACTAGTATGTTTTTTCCCCTTCAAATCGTACTTATGTGGAAACTCTCTATATTCTGAGACAGGTTTTTAAATGAACGAATCTGAATACAAAAGATGTCCCTCTTAAATTACATTATTTCCTATGGATTGAGCCAGAGAGAAAAAAATCTACACAAACTCCTTGTGACTCAGAAAAAATGATTCCGTGCTGCAAGCCAGTCCCTCCAGACAACCTATTTCCCAACACCAATTCTGAGGAATTTAAGATTTGCAGGCAAAAATTCACCATGTGTTTCACAAATCTGGTTTATAAGGGTCATTGTGCTTTACAGACTTTTTTCCAAGCAGTGGTAGTTAGATCTGGACCTGAAGCCAAGCAGCAGATGTTGGAATTTCCATGCAGAAGGCGGCTGCCAATGACCCAGAGGATCCCCTCTTACTAAAGAGATGCCGCTTCCATACACTTAGAGAGTCTAAGTGAGAAGAAATTGCAGTGCATGTTACATTCATGTAATTTTAGGACAAATCTATGCAGGTTGTTTCCTCAGAGGGGAAAAGTGTACTGCGTTTTGGAAGGGGAAGGAAGCAAAAAGTATTTCTTTATGGATGACAAAACACTGCAAGTGCAATATTGGTAACTCACCTACTGGTATTTAAGATGCCTCAGGGGCAAAACTTGGACGGGACCCAGAGATTTGACTTCTAAACCTCTGCACTAAACTTATGTAAGAGCATAATCCTGTAACGTGCTATTTATGGTTAACTTGGGCAATCTTATTTAAAAGGCCTCATGAGAAAAGTTACTCTCTAATACATATGGATGTGATAACATCTATTCTAGGCTAATCAACAGGCATTTGTACAATTAAAAAATGCCCAGTGAAGATTGCAGCTGTATTAGCTACAGACCTCAGTAGGCTTTTTAAAGCCACACCAGCACCAAAGAAGCCATTTTCAATTAATATGTCCCTAGTTAGGACCATAAAGACTAATAGAGGATGTCTGTCAGGTCAAGTTGATGGCTTGCCTGCTTCACACTGCACTAGCCTTTTCTTGTCTAGATCAAATATTTGTTAGCCTGCATCAGGCTCCCTAGCCCTGTTCTGGTGCAAATAAAATACTTCTCTTAATAAAAAAACCCCATAAATGGATTATTAGATACTCTACACTGGGATCAAGATCGTATATGGATATGAATATGTGTCAGATTTAATTCCCTCAGCTTCCTCTAGTTCTCCAAAAGCACTAGCCAAGAGACCTGAGCAGGAGTAATAAAACTTCCCCGTGTCTTGGGGAACACATGTTGTTCTCCAAAATGCAAGAACTACAAGCACAGTTAAGCTCAGCCTACGTCAGGACAACTCTCAGAACCTGTCTCAGCATCAACAGCCTCTCACCCCAAACACTCCTCTTCATAGATGTTTAAATGTGAGTACCTTTCCCTTACCAGACAGTGGGCATGCAACTCGAAAGCACTAAAAGGCTTAAATCAGAGAAGGACTAGGAAAGAACAAAACCTTAATTTACAGCCAGGAATTAGGTGGGTTCCAGTGCAGACTGAAGACCACGGAGAGAACAGGTTTCATGAGACAAATCTGTCCAAAAGCAGAGCTGTGTTCCTCAGGGACTGAAGGTAGTGCATGGTACACGACTGTCTGAATGAAACAACCCACTAATGCCTAACAGAGGTGTCATGAATGGATGGTAGCTCTGTATGAGAGGGGAAGGTTCTTAGTTGCCTAACAGACAACATTTGCTTTTCTGTTTTTCTGCTCACCCTTTGATGCCCAAAGCGACCCCAAGCTGAGGACAAGCTGAGGCCTTGCAGACAGACTGGCAAGCACAGCTTTTTGTGAGACCAAATAGCAGTGCTGTCAATTGCTTCAGTATTTTCTGCTTTTATCAGTGCTTCAGCTCCTCCCACAGAGACTATCAGCTTTCATTAAAAAAGTTTCTACCCTTTATGGCTGTGGGGAAAAGCCTGCAACCATGATTCTAATATAACCTAGTGGGTCAGAAAACAAACCAAGGAACAAGAGCCTCACACTTCTGTTCCTAACAAATAAATCATGACTTTTAAGCTGATCTCATAGTTTATGGTAACTTGATTCAAGGCTTTTGAATGACTAAGGTTAGAAGTACTTTAACTTATCAAACTAGCAAGTTCCTCAAATAAAAATAAACAAAGTGCTTTCCTACAGCTATTCTGAAGAAGATTAACTCCTTTTCCACTAACTACATCTCTCTTTACTATAAAAAGGAAACAATGACAGTTTTTAACTAACCCTTTCTCCAGAAGGCAAACAGGTCCCAGCTATTACAAACTCTCAAGCCAAAGGATATAATCTTCCCACATTGACATGTCCATATTCCACCTTCACAATGGAATTACCAGACTTAGTTACTCATATCTTTGTTGTAACTGGATGATGTAATTTGTTGAAAATGTATGATGGACTACCAAAGGCTACTTGAGGACTTCCTCAGGGGCATTGCAAATAATTTAAGCAAATAAGACTAACAGAAAACATGACTGTGTCACTGCCCTATGTCCTGTTGCTTCTAAATTGTTCCCAGTGCTCTTGAGCTGAACACCACGTGCAAAGAAGAAAATGCAGTTTTAATGAAAAAGTCTCTCTCCCTCCAAAACCAACACACATGACCATATAGCATTTCCATCAAGGTCAAGAATTTATAACACCAACAATGCACTATGACCTCAAATTATTCAAAGGATCTTTTGCTTGAAATCACGAAAATCTTGGATCTTACGAAGGTTGCACAATCAGACTGACATACCATGAGACTTCCATTCCCCTTCAGCTCTGGTTTGGTCATCCTTTGATTAATATCGCGTTTATCACGAATGCATTAATTTAAGAAAAAGGCTTCCCACACACCCCAAAAATAATCTGCATCACTCTCCGTCTCCAAAATTGTTACACAAATGACTCCTGCCCCATGCCACACCACAGACAAAAGAAAAACAATGTTGTTACTTACTAGGAACTCCAGACACCAGCCGTAATGGACGTAATACTCGGAAAGCCCGCAGTGCTTTAACATCGAATCCGGCACCTTTTCCTCCTATTGAATTCCCCCCATCTGCTTTGGTTGCTTGTTCTAAAATTGCACTAAAAAGCCTGCAAAAAGAAAGAGGAAACAATCTGTAGGCAGACAGCAAGGCTTGGGCTGAACAGGAACAGAGATCATCATCATCATATCACCCAAACTCTCTCACAGACCTGTGAAGAGTGTCACACATCTCAGTCGACATTCACATATGGTAGAGGAGAGACAGACTCTTCCCATATGCAACAGCCTATTGGTGATGTCTATACCATTTCCAAAACACTTGTTTCTGGAGCAGACATAAACATGACATGCTCCTCCTTCAGCCTAATGGCTCCTTGCAGCCAGCCATAGGCTACCAATACTTTGCTATCTTTATTAACCAACGATCCACCTTGGGGAAAAAGAATCATCACCCATAATTAATCAATCATTAATTATCTGTCACCCATTTTACAAGGAATTAAGATTCACCAAGGTCACTGCAGGTAGAACTTGGAGTGAAACTCAGGGATCCTTCAAGATGCAAATTTTTAGATAAGGGAGTATGTTCACATTGTGTGCTTGAGTATCCGTTTGTAAATGCCCTGATGCACGGGCTGGGCAAAGTGAAAAACTGTAGGAGTGTTATTATTGGAATGTTTTATTATGTTAGCAAACAAGGCAGAAAAGACAATGTTGTTGTGTGAAAAAGCTGAAGGCTCAATCTATCAGTTAATAAGAACTTGATTTAAGAAATTAGCTTTCAGGAAGCAGCTTCCATTTTTCTGGTAAAACATTAGTACCTTTGGGGGAGGACAGATTCCTCATGAATTTGCTAATGATATTGCTTTCAGCCTTGAAACCACCAGCTTGGACCCAGCCAAATTCAGCAGAGGTTAAAAGCTGTTCCAGTATAAATGGATGTCTGGCACTCTGTAGAAAATGCTTGCCTGGGAGTGGCAGAGCCCCCTTGGCCCTTAAGTTGCCATGGAGGTTCCACAGACAACTTTACAGAAACTGCCTGGAATGCCAGGAACAGCCTATTTGGAGTGGCCTGGATTCAGCACTGGCTGGTTTCTCCTCAGACTTCAGCCTGCAGTGCCTCTGTCAGGATCTCATCCATATTCCAGAGAGAGCTCCCAGACCTCATCAAGCAGAGGCTGAGCTGGACAATTGCTTAACAAGGAACTCCAACACCTGCAGCCTGTGTTAAATCTTACAGATAGGGCCACAAACATAGGGAGCTTGCCCTGGATAGGAAAAGGGGGATTCATTTACTGAAGCATCAAAGTCAACATTTCCCCAGCTCTAAATCCAACAAACAATGCGGATTAGAGGAGTGCAAATGTGAAATTCATTTCTTAAGCAGGTGGGGTTTCTTTAAAATTTTCATATTAAGAGTCTTATAAAACTTGTCAACGGTGACTGAGGAACTCCTAAACTGGATCTATTCAAAGCCTCAGCTTCAAGCACTGCAGAAAGATTTATCAACTAGGTAACAAGCGTGGGAAAAACTGTGTGTGGGGAGGTTGGATGCTGAGTTTGTAGGTGTTGCAGACTGAGAAGCAGGATGCAGAGAAGACAAAAACAGAGCCTATGAGAAATACTGCATTGACTACAGATATCACAGAGAGAGATAAACAAGGGCTAATGCAAAGAACATGTATTAGTAGAATGTATGTATTTCTTTAGCTGTGTACACAGATTATACAGTTGCAATTTTCTGCTGGTCCCCATAATAGAAACACTGTAGGTCAAATTTGGCCTAATGTATTTTCAGTAAGCTAGTGATTAAGCTCTAGCAATGTGCTCCATTTCATATTCAAACGTTTCTATCTTCCTAGTCAACAGAATTCCCATACTAGATGATGAGTGACATATCTATACAACAGTCCCAGTCTCCTGGGATCCTCTGGAGGAAAAAGAATTTACTGCAAAAAGGCTTCTAATGCTGTTTTATATCTCCAAGACTAGAAATCTCAAGGAACTCTGAGTCAGGAATAGTGCAAAACTGAGGTCCCATTTTCACTGGCTCCCTGTTTTACCAAAGAGCAGCTCTTGGCATTGGGCACCAAGGCTGCTTCTACTGCCACTCCTACAGTGAGCAAACCACAGACTGCTCCAGAAATCTGCACCCTGAGCAAGCTGTACTTGTCCCAAATTAGTTCAGGAGGAGCAGAAACAAAACCAGTAGGACAGCTCACTCCTCTGGAGCTAGAACCTCCCTTCCCAGAGTGCAGAGTTCCCTATTTGTGTTGATGTGCTAAAACATGCTATTTTGAGATACCCACAGTCATCTGCCTACTACGCTTCAGGAATAACTTGCAGTAATTCCTGCTGCTCCTCATTAAAAACCCTACATTTAAACTTGAATTTCTAATCCTGCATTTCTAATGCATTTACTCCATAGTTAATATTTCCCCTGCTTTTTACCAATGCACTGCAACTGTTTATTTCTCTCATTTATTTCACTCTCATTGTCTATTGTATTGGGGTCGAGACTGTGTTCAGTGTGGCCTGCTGAATGTCTACCCCACTCTTCAAGTTTATAGTACATCCTGCCAGTCCTGCTTCATTGTCCTCACCACCTCCTTCAGCCAGGGTGATGGCAGACATCTATGATTCAGAGGCTACCACTACCTAATGCTCTTAGTTTTTCAGCTAACTGTTTTCTGACACTAAAACAGCTGGATGGATGTTAGGCTACTGATATAAATTATGAGGCCAGAGCCCTTCTATCCTATATTTACATGGGAAATTCTGCTCTTTGATGAAAACCTTTGGGAAAAGCTTCCAGTAGGTGTGTGGAGCAAGGTGCAGTTCTTTCCTTCTCTTCTCAGGAGGTTAGTTAGCTGAAATGCATGCTCCAAGCATAGTGTGAGAGAACACTGTGCTGACAGAGAAATCGAAGTTTGGATGGCACAAAAAAGCAAGAGGGTTAATCTCTTGTGGCCACTGAAAATCTCACCATGAAAAATAAATAATAATAATAAAAAAAAATAAAGAAATCAGCCTTATTTCCTTCCACCTAACTACTTTCTGCCAGCCTAAATTCATGCCCCATTTTCATTTGGGTATGATGAAGCACAATTAACAGCATCTTGATTTCTGAATTTCACTTGTGACATGACTACACCTTAACTAAATTCATCTGACAGACATGAATTATAACAGCAGAAAAACAAATTTCTATCAACACTTTTTTTTTTGCATTTACTTGTGAAGTATGGAGCTAGCTTCACTGTTTTTCTGTCTTATATTTTGCTGTTTCTCTTTTGACATTTGAAATATCAAGAAGGTTTTCACTTTGCAGGATGACCCCAACAGCAGCATGATAAGGCCGTAACCTGCTCTTCATCTCTTCCTCTGTGGGGAGTGCACCGTGATTTTTACAGTATTAAAAAAAAAAAAAAGAGGGCTTGTCAAGGGCCTCCAGCATATTAAAAGAAAACAGAGGGCTTGGTATTTCTAAGTCCAAAAATCAGCAGAAAAACATAGCTGAAAGAATCCTCTCAGGTGCAAAAAAACAGTAAAATACAAAGTTGGGGTTTTTTCACAGTGTTTTACAGATCACCTGTGATTTCTGAGTGTGAAAGGGTTTGGATCTGCCCTTTAGAAACTCCACACAGGTCTTCAGAAACACAGATACTGTGACCACATTTTCCAGTCTGCTCTAGTTTCAGATCCTCCCCAAATACACCTTCACTGCTTACCTTCCCAAGTAAGACTGTCTTTCAAATTACACCACCTCTTTTTCTGGCAGATGCTACAGGTCCCTGGAGAATGACTGTGCCTGGCAGACAAACCACAGCACTGCCAGGAAAGACAGATATTTTTCTATCACAGCATCGTCAAGTCGGTCTTCTCTCAAGAGAAATTTCCTCCAACAGCCTAATATTAAAGGACATCACTGTGAAAGCTGAAAGTTTTAATGTTTTCCAAAAGAGGAACAGCAAAAATAAAGGAAGCAGGAGACAATTTGACTAACCATTCCTGTCTGTGGGTTGTGCCTTATTAGGCAGCTTAGGGGTGTGGTCTCTACTCTTGGCTAATTATGTTACTAGAGCCTCTCATTGATACCCTCACACAGACGTTATTCTTCAAAGCAGCATTTAACAGAGCTGCTATAGCAGGGTCATAGGCTACTTGAAGATAAGCTAGAATCAAGCCTTAAAAGACATTAATTGATGAATAAGCAGATCTCCCACACTTCAAGAATGATAAGCTGTTACAAGACTACAGGTCTTAAATGCATCCTTTCATCAGAAAATATAGCAGTTGTGTTCAGTGCTCCCCTCTGCTGCTGTTGCATATTCCTGTGGCCTTGTAAGAACCACTGACTCTAAAATCCCTTTGGATACCAGAGGACCTATCTTCAGAAGGCAGGGGACAGTGTACAAGCACATTGTTATAAACTTTTTTACAGGAACTGTGATTCCCCTCCAAAATGTATACCTGGTCCTGCAAATGTCTGTGTTGCTCTTACTTTGCTGACTTGTTTGTTTTAAGGTAAAGGAAGCCCATTGTGCAATATTATCTCTTTAAGTTACATGTGGTAAATAGTGCACAGGTGGATTTAAAAGATCTAAAACCTGTCTTTTTTTTTTTGCTTCTTTAACTTCCAACAGCACTTGAAGAGGTACTTCCCACCTAGCTTTTCTATGTTTTGTAGCAAGGACAGTCATCATTGTAAAAGAAGATGATTCCTAAGGCAGAGCAAGCACAGTTGGCAGTTACTACAGTTCTGGGACTTGATGCTTCCAGTGTTAGGCACACACCATTCTTTGCCCCACATACCAAATAAATCCCTCTGCCCAGTGCTGCAACTGTGTACAGATCACTCAGGTTTCTCCAATAGCTCCATCAATAGGCAGAAAAAAGCACCACAAAGAAATACTGTTATCAGCACTTGCTCTCTTCCTCCTCTCTCTTTAAAATTTATTTTAAACATCTTCCATGGGGCTTCCTCCCTGGCAAAAGATTCAAATACACTGAAGTTTAAACATAATGTCATTGAGGGATTTCAGACAGCCCCTAGGAAAAGAAGACAGGGCAGAACAGGAACAGATGGTATCACCACGTAGATTTTGCAGAGGGGTTGTGGAGAGGAAAAGCAGTGCACCAGCCTAGGCTGTGGTACTGAACCAGTGAGTTTAAACAGATAAACATCAAAGGAACCCATCTGGCCTTGAAGTGGAACCTGTCACTCGAGATTGTTACTATTTAACAGAGACCTTGGGGTCTTGGCCATGTTTATTATACTCCTGTAATCCCTCCCCAGTTACATTTTTTGTTCCCCCTCTGGTGGGGAACTGAGAGCTGCTGGAGGCAAAAGCAGATAGAAGACCTGAGAGCTGCAGCTTCTGCCGCTGGCAACAGAATTAATTTCAGCCTGAATATCATCTTGCTGATTAACTGCCCTAGTAGGAAAATTGAAAAGGACTGTACTTAAACTAGATATAATGCTGCTCTGTGATTTCTGGAGCCCTGCTCTCTTGCATTCCAATGGAAGAAGAGGAGGTAATGTGTCCTCTCTTTAAAATGTCTCTCGGAAAAATGAAAATGGAATGATCGCATTCACAGAACTCTTTTTTTCTCCAATCTTTCTTCAACTTAAGCAGCAATTTCCAAGCAGGTGGGATACCTGAGAGCATTCAAAGGCAGAACCAACTATGGAACTGGCCATCAATACCAGGGGAGGGGTTGGGGATTTTCCAGTTTTCAATTGCTAATATGTTATCAGATCCTCTGTCTTCGAGCAGGAGCAAAGGAGAAAGACAATGGATGTTGCCGTAAGGAGAAGCATTGTGTCCACATGGAGGCAGAGAGGTCTTGAGACTAAGAATAGGTTTCAGCCTGTTCTCCCTCCCCCTCACTGGGAATTCTCCTTCCACCCACTTTTCCCCGTGATGACGGAAAGTGGGAGGGACTGGGTAGCACACAGCAGTTTGCCGATGAAATATTTCGGGACCAGCACAAAAATGGTCAGGAAGATAGATGGTTTGGGGAAGAAATTATGAAGGGGTTTTGATGACTAGGAGTGTCCCCTTTGACATTCTCCCTAGGAGCTGATGCAGAGTTTCCTTGGTAAAGAGGTGAAAAGACTATAAGATTTTGTGGGCGATGAAACTCTTTAACAATGGGGTGGTGGGAGGATGGGACAAATTACTCAGGCAAAGAAATACTTGTTCTCTTTGTCTTCAGCTGTAGTTTATCCTTCACCTCTTCCCTCAAACAACCACAATTCAAATCCCCTGCTTATCTCTTACCCTTAGGTAGAAAAAGCAGAAGGTGTACTACTTTGCTTTTATTCAAATAAATTAAATGCCAAGCTTGAAAAACATGCAGAGGAATAACAGGATTAGAAAGGTTGCAGCTCAAAGTAGCAATTTGATCTACAATAGTAAAATTATTCTTTAGAAAGGTTAAAACATTAAAAGGGTCAAAATTAAAAGTGTTGAAATCACCAGCTGAACAGGGCAATTGAGCTGAGGAACTTAGTTTGTAGGAAAACCTGGGGTTTAAATTTTTCATCCGTCTTTCAGAATGAGAAACACCAGTAAAAGTTCACAAGATGGCAGAATTTATCTGTCATCCAACTCCTAATCTTAATTAAAGGATTACCTAGATATTATTTTTAATATTCACACAGATTTAAAGACAAAGGGATTTTCTTTTACTTAAGCATATCCAGGCGTTTGACTTTGTCCAACAGCTTGCACTGCTTCTTCTTTTTATCCCTGTTCCCAAAGAGCAGTTTAATTTCTATGTCTTGCAAACCGTTTGAATGGTGGTTGTAGGAGGAACACGATGGACAGCAACCTCTAACATCACTCATATGTAATGTACCAAGATTCCCCCACCCTTAAGCTCCCAAATATTGCCAGTATCCCCGTGTATACAGTGCCTTCAAAAACAAACTGTTGGTACTCACCCTACTACCACAATTATAAAATCTAGTAAATTCCAGCCATTGCGGAGGTAAGCGTTGGGGTGAAAGAGAAGTCCGTATGCTATTACTTTTAAAAATGCTTCCACTGTAAAAATTATGAGAAAGAGATATTCCACTCGTTCCTGGGGAAGACAAGAGAACAAGAGAGATAATGGTTAGTGTGAGTGACAAACCATGGATAAGGATGTTTTCTTTTGTTGTAGTCCACCCAACTCATTGACTCGCCACTCGGGTGCACCTAACACGCATGGCTTGCTTGCCAGGGAGCTTTCCTATGTGCAATCTTGCATAGTCTGCAATCAGTCTGACAGGACAGGGGCACTAAATTTTGGTTAGACTGAGACCTGCTGCCCTTGCCTTGGTGAGGACTGACCCCTGCACAGGCCTGTGCAAAGCAGAGAGGCAGTGTCCAAGCACTCAGCTCTCTCCAGCGTACATGGCCAAATATTGCCAGCCAGCAGAATGAACTGCATCCAGCCATCTTCTACCTCTGGAGAGGAAACATTGCTGGATGCAATAATGGGGAGAGAGATGGGTTAAAAAATAAGAAGAGCCCACCTGAGACTAATGCTTGTGTCAGACTGAGCCTTCTTTGGGATTCCCTTTTCTGTTGCTGGGGAATAAGTAGGCTGAATACTGGTGGTAAGTGATTTACAGATCAGGCTGACTAACACTAGAGGCTTTTAGTCATACTGTTAGAAATGTACGTGTCCCTGTGAAATGCAGGCTGCAATTAAGCATATCCAAAGTCACTTCCAGTAACAGTACAGCCTGATTCAGGACAAGCAATCAAGCTTTTGGAGCAGTACAGAGGCTCACCATCTCTCATTCCTGGGGCTTTTAGCCCCGGTGTGGAATAAGGATAGCAGTGTTGCAGAAATGGTAGGGACCTCCACCTAAGTAGGAGGGAAACTGCAGCATTAGGTAATCACTACAGAAGTGCTGCGTGGCAAGCTGCGTGGGAGATAAGTACATGAAAACTAGATAACAGCAAAAGGAGACTAGGTCCCTGAGAGGTTAAACTACAAAGTCATTAAAAGTTCACACTGAAGAAACAATATCTGAGATAAAAACAAATTAAAACATCCTAGGCATTCCTGTGATACCTTGAAAAATACCCAGCAAGACAATCAGACAGGTCACTATTTTTCTTCTCAGCTCCAAATTTTATCTACCCTGTTCCTCTGTCCAGCTGAACGCATGTATGACACTTTCATATTATATAGCAATAAAAAATGTGCAGGATTACAAAAAAAATCATTCCACCTTTTGACAGTTGCCCATTTGAATATTTTACATTCAGCTCCAGATAATTAACAACTCACTAGAAACCTGAAGATCAAAAAAATCCAATTGCCAGTTCATTTGTATGTTTACATTAATGTGATATTTTACATGACTGAGAAATTCCATCTGACAGTAGCAGGCATATGTTTGTGCTTTAGAATATTGCTGGTTTCCCTCAGATGATGCTTTCACAATGCCTGCAGTATCCCCCAGTGCTTAGTACAAGGAACACCCGAAAAAGCAAAAGTATCATTCTGAAGTTATCTGATCTAGTAGTAAAGCTTTTGAACACGCCCACAGCACAGAATTTGTCCACTGTTGTCCCAGATGGAGACACAGCAGTACACTATGGATTTTCCTTCCCTCGAACTCAGAGATGGAAAGAACAGCATACAATATCAGCACCTACTATGTCCCCTCTACAAATAGTGAGGACACTGTTTTACTTAGCCCAGGAATAGGCACAGAAGTGCTAACAATCAAGAATCTAACCATGGGCTTGACCACAGGAAAAAGCTCCATAATGGCTTGCACACTCCTAGAAGGGACTAACAGGGCAGCCCTTCACCTTCCACTCTTGCTGACAACTGAGCAAGTACCTCCTGATACACAAATCATGGCCAAACAGACCCAAATGATCGATCTCTATGCACACATTTGTAAAGAGGGACTAGCTGTCACGAAATCTCTTAAACCCTAGAAGTAGTATAAAATGACTGCATGATGGGAAGTCTGTGTGGTCTTTCTGACTGCCCTGCACCTTTGTGCTGCCTCTATCAACATAGCCCAGGGCCTGACACGACCCCACAGACAGCTTGCGGTAGCTCTGCCTGAGAGGTGATGCCCTACCTCTGCAAGGACAAAGTAAAACCTATGTAGAGGCTGGAGAAAGATGGAAATGGGCTCTGAGGGGGAAGAACCTGCCCTGAACTCAGTTTGGGAGTGCTGTGCCTAGGATGGACATGGCCTCACTAGGGACTAATGAACACTGTTTAGGATGGAAACAAAGATTTCTCTTATGGCAACTCAACCCACTAATTAGACTCACTCACTCCCTATTTCAGCCAAGGGCTTTCTAAAGCTGTGGGCAAGCTCTTTTTCCCTCTCACAAAAAGGGTAAAACCACTCTTCAGTCTGCCTTTGAGGTGGCCCTGTGCACTCAAGTTCATCCAGCATCCCACTGTGCACACAGAAACACAGGCTCATGCAGGAGTGCTGTAGGCCCTAAAAAACAGCCTGCCCCTAAAACCTCTCAGTGGCCACAGCTGAGATAGTTACAGGGGAATGTCGAGGAGCCCATCCTCCTATTTAAGAACTCCAGGTCCAATTTGAAGCTGGTGGGCAGAACAGTTGAAGAGGAAGGCCTAAAGCTGATCCTGTGCCCAGCAGTTTAACACCAAACACTGTCCTTGACCTCTGGGCACCCAGGGACAAAAGCTGCTGCCAGCTCTGTCTGGCTTTGTGCTGCTCCCACGGCCACAGCCCTGTGCAGGCCTGCCTGGCCAGGAGAGCCTTTCCACTCCATGAATTCCATTGAAATACCTGTACCAGTGCAATCGAAAGAGCCATGAAAGCAAACACTTTAGAAAATTCTGGAACAACTTTTTTTTTTTCTTTTTAATTACTACTTTTAAAATGTGTAATAGTGCACGGAGCAGACAGTATTTCAACAACTCACAGGTTCCAGTTGGCTGGGATTGGGAGCCTTATACCTTTTTGTCTCTGAAGATGCCTATGGGACTACTGGCCCCTCTTTTGTTATTGTAATAATGCTGTTTGTTGAAGCATGTTATTGAGGTACTAATATAACAAAATATTACACACACATGCATATATACACATCTATACATAGATATATAAATATATGCATATGTAACTACAAACTATTTGAATAAATTCCTCACAATGCTTCGATTAAGATGGAAAGATCCATAAAAAATAAAATTCTATAAAAGCCTCTGAAATGAACATAAGATACAGAATGTTGAGCAGAGGAGAGATTTTATGACCCTTTGCACTTAAATTAATGATTTCAGAGTCTAAAACTGAAGGAAAAATACTGCTGAGATTAAACAGTGCAGCTGCTCCAAGATCATTTCAGAAAGCTACTCCTGTTCAGACTCAAGAAGAATTTGAAAAGCCTACTAATTAATTTGTGTTCCCTTTTGTCCTCATGCTATAAAACTGAAAAGCCTTTATGAACACAGCATAACTCGGTAACGACACAGCATAACTGAGTTCCCTGGAATGTGGGTTTCAGTCCCAGTTCTGATGCCACCTTGCCCAGTGAGCCCACAGATATGACTCAACCATCCCCTGCCTCAGGTTGGAAATGACAGGACCACCTCTTGCCCTCAGCAGCCACAGAACAATAAATTTGCCTCTGCCAAATGGGCATCTATACTTCTGCCTGCTCATTTGAAGCTTTGCTCTCAGAGCAAAGCTGGTAGACCAGGACTCAGTGTTTCAATCTCCCAAGGGACATAGCACTGCAAAGTATCCATAATTCCAACTCTTCCAAGAAGCCGATTTGGTGCAATTTTGAAAGCAACCAAACTAGACAAGTATTGATGTTTCCCTTTGAGAGAGCTCCCTGCTGACAGGGAGGGAGGGAGCTGCCCACTACCATTATGAGAGGAGACAGCCACAGTATTGCCCCTTGAAACACAAATCCAAACCACAGCATCAAAAGAGAGGCAACTTACTTCGGAGTTGTAGGAAAGAAGGAACAGTATTTTTTTATTTGTGCCTTAGAAATGGGAACCCTGCTCACGTGGCCGAGGCACGTGAAGCATACTGCAGGTTGTAGAATTACAAAGCAGGAGCTTCCTGCTTGGGCAATAGTGATGCAAATGTTTTGAAAACCAAAGGAAAAAAACACAAACAAAATATGAGTGGAAGAAGAGGAAGGATCAAAGTTTTAAAAAACCAGCCAGTCCCTGGAGCACACATGTTCTGAGACTGGCTCTACCACTTTTTTTGAGTTTGTTTGGGGTTTTTTTGAGTTTTGTTTATTTGAGTTTGTTTGGGTTTTTTTTTTTGTAGATATAGGACATAAGCATCAGCTACCCTAGTTGATAGATTAGCCAGCACTAATGCTGCCAAGAAACAAGCTGTACATCATCTTACTTTTAACAAAGAAACAAACATCAACTTACTGTTAAGGCTCTAAGATACATTTCCGAAAGAGGATTACTGCATTAAGTATGAAAACCCTCTAATCCCATGTGCCTTCCGAAGAAGTCATAGGTTTGTTTTTGTTTATAATTTTTAAACTGTAGCTAATGTCATCCTGGGTTTATAAAAGGAGTCTGAAAACAGGAAATCCAAGGAAATTATTGTAGGGTGCCATAAGGCTTTTCTCCTGTCAGAGAGTGAGTAGACCAGTGCTGTTTCTGAGAAATGGTCGTCAGAATGATTCACTGTATCTTGATCCCAGCTCTCCAAACTCCATCCACCCAGCAGCACTGATAGGTCATAACATTTTCTTTGCAATAGTTACTCAAGGATCAAATCCCAATCAGGTTCTTGCATCTCATACACACCAGTCTAAAGAGTTTACAATACAAAATTCAGTCAGTGGAGGTTTTCTCAGACTTTTCTGTCTGTCTCTACTTGCATTCTGCTCAGCTTATGACAAACCATGTTTCAAAAATTACAGCTTATGTGTTTGAAGTAATGAGCCCCCAGCCCTGCACAGCTAGAACCTTTATGAAGCTGCCTGTTTGACCTTAGACATCAGAGTCTGCATTATTATTCCCTAATGCTTCCTTAAACATAAGAGAATACATTTCTTCAGTAATGCAAATACTCAGATGTCCAAGTAAAACAGCAG